CGCGAGAGTAATTACGCTCAAGCTAAGATTGCGATCTTTGGGAGCTCAAGTGATGAGCCCCAAGAGGCTGTGCGTGAAGCCCCGGAAGAGGACAGCCATAGGGCCAAACTAAAGGCTCCTATGGTCGAGACACCGAGCACTGTGAAAAAGTGATTTCTACTGCACTATTGGTGTTTTTATTTTATTTTTTTATTTTGGTTGTTTTTGTTTTTGTTATTTTGTTTCGGAAATAAAAGAGTAAGGTTGCAGAAAGAAAAAGAAAAAGAAAACACACTTTCCAACTAAAATAAAACAAAGACGACAAACGAAAAAGAAAACACATTTCCCTAACCAAAATAAGACAAAGATGATAGCCGAAAGGGAAAGGCAAAAACACAAAGCACTAGAAAACAGGGGGGGAAAAAAGTAAAGTGAAAATAGAAATGCTCCCCCTTGAAGCGATTAGGTCGAGCATGCCCGGGAAATCTGAAATGGTGTCGACTCCCTCATCAGCATATGTCTATTTAAACCACACCTCAGCAAGCGGATGATGCCCTGCATTTCTTCCTGCAAACTCAAGGAAAACCATCAAAAACATCCAGAAACAAAACAATGGCATCCTCATCTATGCTCATTAATGACCTCAACCTTGAGTTGTCCCTTGCACCACCGAATGCCCAGATAAGGGCTCCTCCAACTCCTGTTTTCCCAAACTCCACATATCATCACGGCATGGCCTCAAACTTTGCTGAGGCAATACCGAACTTTTCTGAGGCAATGCCGAATAGAGCAGTGCTGCTGGGAGGCATGATTGACAGTAAACTCACATCGGTAGATCATCTGCATGTGGCACGTAGGTTTGACAAGATGGCGGTGGATGAGTCCCACTCTTTAACTGTGCTCCATGCGGTCTCGTTTACCAATTTGGGCATGTGATTACTGGTGAGGATGCGGGAGTGCACAGCGCTGAGCGAGGAGGTGGCTGCCTTGAAAGCTCTGGTGGCGGACTTGCAGAAGCGACTCTACTGTGCCAATCAGCATGTGGAAGCACTGCAGAGAAAGAATGAGGACCATGTAGAGCTGCTGCAGATTCTACAAGTGCGAGA